GGAAGTACAACCACATTAGTCCTGACTAGAACCAGGAAGTACGACCACATTAGTCCAGTCCTCAGGTCTCTGCACTGGCTTCCTGTGGCTCAGAGAATAGACTTTAAAACAGCTCTGCTTGTTACAAGTCTCTCCATGGCCTCGCACCAAAATATATTAGTGACATGTTAGTCCCATATGAACCAGCCCGGACTCTGAGGAGCACAGGGCCTCCTGCTGGGACTCTGGGGAGCACAGGGCCTCCTGCTGGTGCCCAGAGTGAGAACTAAACATGGGGAGGCTGCTTTTCAGATTCATGCTGCTAAAATCTGGAACAGTCTTCCTGAAGATGTGAGACAGGCCTCCTCTCTGACAATGTTTAAATCCAGGTTAAAGACTTTTCTTTTTTCCTGTGCATACAACTAAGGGATTTTATCTTTTTAACACACCTTGTTATTTATTATTGTAACTCTTTGTGTGATTTTAATGTTTTTAATTACTTGTGTGATTTAAAACAAATTATGTTTTTAATTTTACTTTTAATGGTGATGATTTGTGCCTTGTGTGGTGTGGACTCTGAGGCGCTTTGTGTTGCCCTGAGTAGAAAAAGCGCTCTATAAATAAAGATTGATTGATTGATACAGCCTCAGTCCCGGGTCTACAGCCTCAGTCCTGGGTCTACAGCCTCAGTCCTGGGTCTACAGCCTCAGTCCTGGGTCTACAGCCTCAGTCCTGGGTCTACAGCCTCAGTCCTGGATCTACAGCCTCAGTCCTGGGTCTACAGCCTCAGTCCTGGGTCTACAGCCTCAGTCCTGGATCTACAGCCTCAGTCCTGGGTCTTCAGCCTCAGTCCCGGGTCTACAGCCTCAGTCCTGGGTCTACAGCCTCAGTCCTGGGTCTACAGCCTCAGTCCTGGGTCTACAGCCTCAGTCCTGGGTCTACAGCCTCATTCCTGGGTCTACAGCCTCAGTCCTGGGTCTACAGCCTCAGTCCTGGATCTACAGCCTCAGTCCTGGGTCTACAGCCTCAGTCCTGGGTCTACAGCCTCATTCCTGGGTCTACAGCCTCAGTCCTGGGTCTACAGCCTCAGTCCTGGATCTACAGCCTCAGTCCTGGGTCTACAGCCTCAGTCCTGGGTCTACAGCCTCAGTCCTGGATCTACAGCATCAGTCCTGGGTCTTCAGCCTCACCACTCAACCACAGAGGCCAGATCTGTGTAGCGTCTGACTAATATTTGCCTCATATACAAATTCCTCTGGGTGAGTAACCATGGGCCTCGTGCCTACATCTGTGTTCAGTGCTGCCCTGGTTCGAATCAAGTGAAGTTGGAAAACAGCCGTGTCTTGGTAGATTTGCAGTGGTGCCATGCCCTTACCATTTACAGTATTCCATTATTAGTGACAAAACTCCTGGGGAATGAATTATTTTTCAATCCAGAGTAAGTAATAACTGTGACTGTGCTGTGTGTCCCGGTGTGTGAGAGAGAGAGAGAGAGAGAGAGTGATAAACGGTGAGAGAGCGATAAACGGTGAGAGAGCGGCGTCTGCTCAGAGCGGATGCCTGCGGCGAGACGTGATGTGTAAACAGTGGTCATTAGCATTGGCGCTGTCGACACCTGGAGCTGAACAAACATAAACACGACGTGGAGGAAGACTGCATTTAGCTCTGGTGCCAGGACCAGTATATACCATGTGGGCTTAATCGATTCAACATGGGCCTTTCCGGAGGTTTCTCACATGGTTTCCTGCAGGGATTTTTAAGTGGATCCTTGGGCAGGACATTCAAGGCAAGAGAGACAGAGACAAGAGAGAGTTACCAGAGAGAGTCAATAGAGAGAGACCAGAGACAGACCAGAGAGAGACAAGAGAGAGACCAGAGTGGCCAGAGAGAGACCAGGGAGAGACCAGAGAGAGACAAGAGAGAGACCAGAGAGAGACCAGAGAGAGACCAGAGAGCCCAGTGAGAGACAAGAGAGAGTGACCAGAGAGACAAGAGCGAGACGAGAAAGAGAGACCAGAGAGAGAGACCAGAGAGAGACCAGAGAGAGACCAGAGAGAGACCAGAGAGAGAGACTGATAGTGGAATTGTTGTTGGGTTATCATTAAAGTAAATGTAAATATATTCAGTTTAGAACAACTTTGGGTTGACCTACAGTACATTGGAATGTGGAAACTTTCCATTCAGGTGTTGAAACCAAGCTAATAATGATCCACATTGTCCACATTGGGGTGTTTTGAAACTATGTTGCAAGACGTTGTCCAACAAGTGGTTAATGTTTTACTTGCTGGGCTTTTCCATGTGTGAAGGTGTGTTATATGCTTTGAAATAAATAAGCTGCTTGTGGCGTATCGAGCAGGACTTGTCTTGACGACTGCAGAGGACGCAGATGCCTCCTCGCCGCCATAAAGCTATCTCCTGCTTGTTGCATGCTAGTATAAACTAATTACCTTGTGTGTTGTGGGCTTCTGTCCAGATAACTGTAGTAAAACTAGTTTTTAACAGTGACCAGAGAGAGACCAGAGACCCTGATCATAGAGAGACCAGAGAGAGACCAGAGAGAGACCAGGGAGAGACCAGAGAGAGACCAGAGAGAGACCAGAGACCCTGATCATAGAGAGACCAGAGAGAGACCAGAGAGAGACCAGGGAGAGACCAGAGAGAGACCAGAGAGAGAGACCAGAGAGAGACCAGAGAGAGACCAGAGAGAGACCAGAGAGAGACCAGAGAGAGAGACCAGAGAGAGACCAGAGAGAGACCAGAGAGAGACCAAAGCGAGACCAGAGAGAGACCAGAGAGAGACCAGAGACCCTGATCATAGAGAGACCAGAGAGAGACCAGAGAGAGACCAGAGAGAGACCAGAGAGAGACCAAAGAGAGACCAGAGAGAGACCAGAGAGAGACCAGAGAGAGACCAGAGAGAGACCAGAGAGAGACCAGAGAGAGAGACGAGAGAGAGACCAGAGAGAGACCAGAGAGAGACCAAAGAGAGACCAGAGAGAGACCAGAGAGAGACCAGAGAGAGAGACCAGAGAGAGACCAGAGAGAGACCAGAGAGAGACTAGAGAGAGACCAAAGAGAGACCAGAGAGAGACCAGTGAGAGACCAGAGAGAGACCAGAGAGAGACCAGAGAGAGAGACCAGAGAGAGACCAGAGAGAGACCAGAGAGAGACCAGAGAGAGACCAGAGAGAGAGAGACGAGAGAGAGAGACCAGAGAGAGACCAGAGATAGTGATCATAGAGAGACCAGAGAGAGACCAGAGAGAGACCACAGAGAGACCAGAGAGAGACGAGAGAGAGAGGCCAGAGACAGTGATCATAGAGAGACCAGAGAGAGAGGCCAGAGAGAGACGAGAGAGAGACGAGAGAGAGAGACCAGAGAGAGACGAGAGAGAGAGACCAGAGAGAGACAGTGATCATAGAGAGATACCAGAGAGATACCAGAGAGCCAGACCAGCAAAAGAGGCGATAGATATAATAATTAGTAGTCGTTTTTGTTTCTTGTGGATCGTTCCAGGAATTATGGAGAAATGATCCACAGAATCGAAACTAGAATCCGACTTTTGACAGTTGCCGTAGTGTCCAGGAGAGATGCCTCAGCTGACACCACAACGTCACATGACCTCAGACTATCATTCCCTATTCGCAGACATGAATATTCTCATGTTTAAGGCCAAATAAACACAAACAATGCATTATTTAATTGGACTGTGGAAGATTCTGGAACAAACATCTGAGCAGTCAATACGTGTGAATGAAGAAGAAGAGAACGCTGCGATAATGAAAGTGAAATTATGCAAACGCCAGAGAAGAGGTGAGACGAGTAATTGCTCTGGGAAACTCTGGGTAATGAGACAGCCTCAGTCCTGGGTCTACAGCCTCAGTCCTGGGTCTACAGCCTCAGTCCTGGGTCTACAGCCTCAGTCCTGGGTCTACAGCCTCAGTCCTGGATCTACAGCCTCAGTCCTGGGTCTACAGCCTCAGTCCTAGGTCTACAGCCTCAGTCCTGGGTCTAGAGCCTCAGTCCTGGGTCTACAGCCTCAGTCCTGGGTCTACAGCCTCAGTCCTGGGTCTACAGCCTCAGTCCTGGGTCTACAGCCTCAGTCCTAGGTCTACAGCCTCAGTCCTGGGTCTACAGCCTCAGTCCTGGGTCTACAGCCTCAGTCCTGGGTCTACAGCCTCAGTCCTGAGTCTACAGCCTCAGTCCTGGATCTACAGCCTCAGTCCTGGGTCTACAGCCTCAGTTATAGGTCTACAGCCTCAGTCCTAGGTCTACAGCCTCAGTCCTGGGTCTACAGCCTCAGTCCTGGATCTACAGCCTCAGTCCTGGGTCTACAACCTCAGTCCTGGGTCTACAACCTCAGTCCTGGATCTACAGCCTCAGTCCTGGATCTACAGCCTCAGTCCTGGGTCTACAACCTCAGTCCTGGGTGTGCAGCCTCAGTCCTGGGTCTACAGCCTCAGCCCTTCAGTCCTGGGTCTACAGCCTCAGTCCTGGGTCTACAGCCTCAGTCCTGGATCTACAGCCTCAGTCCTGGGTCTACAGCCTCAGTCCTGCTTCACCTTTATATTGTCAGTCTTTTCTGTTTTGTATTTATTCATGTGGGATCTTTTGTGCGAGGTGTACATTTCTTTTGTGTCTCTTTCCCTGGAACCTGCCTTGGGACAATACGGCAGAAATTTAGCAGTTTTTGCAGTTTTTACACTGACGCTAAAGGAACCAATATTGTTGAATGTGCATTGTCCCAACTCAACAAATAGAATATTTGGGCGACGGTGGCTCAGTTGGTAGAGCATTAGCTTTTGGGCCTGAAGGTCTTGGGTTCTAGCTCACGTCAAGACCTAATTCACGACTCCCACTGATTTTTGCTGACGTTGTGTCCTTGGGCAAGACACTTAACCCCACTTTGCCTGGAGCCCCCGCTGAAAGATCTCAGCTCCTGTCCATCATCATGAAATCTGTCCTTAGACCCTCCGGCACCGGCAAGAAATACTCTAATAATGAAACCCCAAAATCCTCCAACTATCCCGCTGTCCCAAGTGCACCGAGAGCCCAGAGCAGGAGCCTCTGTCTGCATCGCTCTTCATCGTCTCGGTCACTTCGGTCTTCCTCAGAGCGCTCCCTCTCTCCTTCACACTTGAGCACAGATTGTCCAGGGCTCGTTGGGCGCCTTGTGTTTCTCTTGGCCGTCTCCGCTCGTCGCCTCCGCTTCAAACTCCCATCAGTCGCTTTGAGTCCGTCTGCTTCAGGACACGCTCTGAGACTGAGGTCGTTCTTACATCTGTGAGCACAGGGACGGGTCAGTACAGAGACATATGAGCTCAGGGACGGGTCAGTACAGAGACATATGAGCACAGGGATGTGTCAGCACAGGGACGTATGAGCACAGGGACATGTCAGCACAGGGACGTATGAGCACAGGGACGTGTCAGCACAGGGACGTATGAGCACAGGGACGTGTCAGCAAAGGGACGTATGAGCACAGGGACGTATGAGCACAGGGACATGTCAGCACAGGGACGTGTGAGCCACAGGAAGCCAGTGCAGAGACCTGAGGACTGGACTAATGTGGTCGTACTTCCTGGTTCTAGTCTGGACTAATTTGGTCGTACTTCCTGGTTCTAGTCAGGACTAATGTGGTTGTACTTCCTGGTTCTAGTCAGGACTAATGTGGTCATACTTCCTGGTTCTAGTCAGGACTAATGTGGTCGTACTTCCTGGTTCTAGTCAGGACTAATGTGGTCGTACTTCCTGGTTCTAGTCAGGACTAATGTGGTCGTACTTCCTGGTTCTAGTCAGGACTCGAGCTGCTGCATTTTGAATGTACTGCAGCTGTTTTACAGCCTGTTTGGACAGACCTGTGAGCAGGCCATTGCAGTAGTCTAACCTACTGGAGACAAATGCATGGATAAGAATCTCCAGGTCTGCTTTAGACACTATGTTTTTGATCCTGGCGATGTTTTTTAGATGGTAAAAAGCTGCTGATGTTACTGATTTGATGTGGATATTAAAATTTAAGTCTGAGTCCAGTATTACCCCTAGATTTCTGACCTTGTTTGAAGGTTTTAGGGAGAGAGACTGTAGGTGACAGATGACGCTCTCTCTTTGTTTCTGGGGACCAAAGACAATCATTTCAGTTTTGTCTGCGTTTAGCTGAAGGAAGTTGTTTTGCATCCACTCTCTGATCTGTTGGATACAGTGAAGGAGTGAGTCCACTGGTCCATGTTCTCCTGCAGTCAGTGAGACATAGATCTGAGTGTCGTCTGCATAGTTGTGATAGGAAACTTTGTTTCTGCGTATTAACTGACCTAACGGCAGCATGTAGAGATTGAACAGAAGAGGTCCCAGGATCGACCCCTGTGGTACTCCACAGGTCAGGGCCATATGATCTGAGAGTTTCCAATCTCCACAAAGTACTTCCTGTCCTCAAGGTAAGACCTAAACCAACTTAGGGCGGTGCCAGCGACGCCAACCCAGTCCTCTAGTCTCTGTAAGAGGATCTCATGGTCGACAGTGTCAAAGGCAGCACTCAGATCTAACATGTCCAAAACTGTTACTCTACCTGCATCAGTGTGAAGTTGAATGTCGTTTGTTACCTTCACTAGAGCGGTCTCAGTGCTGTGGTGGGGTCTAAACCCAGACTGGAACATATCAAAAGAATTATCCATTGTTAAAAATTCAATACGTTTTTCCTATGAATGGCAGATTCGATATGGGGCGGTAATTTTGAAGTACCGCAGGATCCAGGCTGCTCTTTTTTAGGAGAGGTCTTTTGACTGCTGACGACAGAGACATGTTTAATATTTGTGTCAGTGAAGGTAACAAACTGCTCACGAGTCCAAACCAGAGAGAGTCCAAACAGACCAGAGACCAGAGAGACAGATTTACACTGTTAAACGTGACTTCTAACACCACTTCCCACCTCCATCTTGAAACACGGCCCAAAACGATGACACATCCTAAACATGTCTCCTACCTTTCCCTGTGTCCTGTGCAAACCCACCTCCTCCTCATCCTGTCACCGTTATCTCCTCTTGTTTTTGTAAATAAATCATCCTCCCTCTTGTCTCTCTCTTCCCGCCGAGTTGGGACCGCGCTACAGACGTCTAATAAAACACGCATAAAAAGGCAATTCGTGTCTGAGCTCAATTTACACACTGGACCGAGCGCCGCACTCACCATCGGCACGCCGCATAAATCACAAATAAAACGCCATTCCGTGTCTCCAGTCAATTTCCATAAAGATTCAAAGGGGACGGATTGGATGGCTCTATTCTGTAATGTCTTATGCAAAGCACTCTTTTTGTTTACCCGTGCTGAGCAGGCTTGGCTGGCTGCATTACTCGACTCTAATAAAGGTCTTAAGAAACATGTCGGTATTAGCATCCGGTAGATGAAGAAAATTACACATCGGAAACACCGGCCGTCGCTGGAGATAAACTTGGATCAGTTCCCAAACCTGGAAAGACTAGACTTGGTTCTGTCGGAAACACGGAGCGAGAAAGGTCCTTGTTTATGGGGGTTGATGCAGGAGCCGTGGGTGGAGGTTGGAAGAAGCCATTTTTGTCAAATCAACAAGTTTTTGATTTTTAAATGTCCCGTGTTGTGCTTTTCTTCACGTTTCACGGTCCGTCCAAAGCACAGGTGTGATAATAATGTGGGAGATACAATTATTACAACAATACTCAAAACTTATAATTATAGCCATTTCTTGAGTGCTTCTAAAACACCTACAATGATGGAACAGAAAGTGCCAATTTCACGTTTGCCAGAAAAGAAAATCAGATGAGGAAAAAGCAAACTATAAGAAGACTTGGGACGCAGCCAGGACGAAAACCAAAGACTGTAGATATTAACAAACAGAGTCAGGCCTATCTCTACTGCTGAAACTAATGTGCTATCATTGTAGCCTTCTGTGGGGCTTTTTCAAAATGGCCGCGGGGGCAGAACAATTTGAAAAAATGGATTTGCGTACGTGTTAGCTGCACTAGTTTCATTCATTTAACAAGTGCATTCTGAAGTCCACAGCAACATTGACGGCAACTGTTGAACCAAGAGTGACTTTTGGACCATCCTGTAAAGTTGTTTTCGAGGGGACAGAAGACGCCAAACCAAAGCATTTGGTAATTCTCTTTCCGGGTACACCCCCACCGACCCAGAGTGAGATTGCAGCATGTCAGTGCACATGCTCATGGACCTTTTGGAGCCGGGACCCGCCCGCACTGGCAAAAACTCAACATTGGGCCATGCTACATGCTACTGCTAAGCTAACCTGAATTCTTTACTGCACCTTTAACAGTGGTTCAGATGGTAGAGCATCGGCCTTTGAGCCTGAAGGTCGTGGGTTCGAGTCCACCGTAAAACCTTCTCTACCTGCCGCTGTCGTTGTGTCCTTGGGCAAGACACTTTACCCCACTTCGACTATAAGGAGCGCGGAAGTAACAGCACGCTGCATGCCAGGATGTGATGTGGGTACATGTTTATTCATCAAACCGAATCTTCTAACTTCTAATCCAGGTCTAGGGTCTGGCCTTGATCCAGACCTGGCCTTGTTCTTGGACTTGGACAGAGACACAAACAGACAAACCTCTCTCCGGCTCCATCCCAACACCACCGTCTCTGGAACGCCTTCAGATTCTCCAGTCTTGTACAAAGTTTAATCCATTCCTGCGAACGACACGGAGCAGTCGTGGCAGTAATGGACTTTCTCAAGTGTTTGATCCACAACACTAATTACAAACACGAATTATGAAAATGTCAAAGCTTTTACAGTAGCTCCATAGTACCTCATTATTACAAGGTGCTTCCCCCGGCACTTGTTTTACCAGAATAAACTAAATGAACGCCATAAAAACACTGCGAAAATTGTGTTTCTCTTGCGTGTCTTTGTCTCTTCTGTAATCTGGCCCGGTGGAAATTGCTTTTGACCTCGGCGCGGGAGGCCTCTTTGATACGGTGAATACAAGTTGCATTTGCATAATAGTCGACTCACGGTGGAGTCTTGTTTTTGAAGAGACGTCTGACGGACAAGACGCACTGAATACAGGAGTGAGACATCGCCTGACATACATTTAGGACATCTTTGAATAGACGTAATAAGCAAAATCTCCTCCCCTTTCTCTGCGTCAGAACCACAGACTGTGTACTCAAAGTTGTAAGCTTGACGTTAGCCTCGCACCATAACAGAGGGAGACGTGTTGCTATGGTGGTTGCTAAGGCAAGTTTGAGTGTCCCCTCTGAAGGAAGGCGCCTGATTGGTCAATCCACATATGACTCAAATCTGGATTCACAAAGACAATGCCATAATATAAACACCAGGATCAGTAAGTCACTCCTGACCTGCACTAGGACCGAAGAACCAGCTGCTATTGCCACGTTTTACCGTACATAATTATATCCTGCACAGACTATATTTTTAACCTTCGACACGTTTCACACTTCTGTCTTTTGCACAATCTGAGTGATTCTATCGGTGCCAAATGTGACTTGTGCGTTTCTCTATCAGCAATCGATAAAGTTTATTTTATCTTGGATTATTTTACCCAAAAATGGTGATCTAGAGATTACTTTTACATGTAAGTCAACAGGAGCCAGAGAGAGATGGAGCCAAACTTCGTCCATTAGCACTTCTGTATCGGGCTTCATTGGGCTAGTGAGTTAGCATTGTCCAGCTACATGCAGCCTATCAGGGGAGTGCCTGGACTGGCCTCTTGCTGGGACTCTGAGGAGCACAGGGACTGACCTCCTGCTGGGACTCTGAGGAGCACAGGGACTGGCCTCCTGCTGGGACTCTGAGGAGCACAGGGACTGACCTCCTGCTGGGACTCTGAGGAGCACAGGGACTGACCTCCTGCTGGGACTCTGAGGAGCACAGGGACTGGCCTCCTGCTCGGACTCTGAGGAGCACAGGGACTGACCTCCTGCTGGGACTCTGAGGAGCACAGGGACTGGCCTCCTGCTGGGACTCTGAGGAGCACAGGGACTGGCCTCCTGCTGGGACTCTGAGGAGCACAGGGACTGGCCTCCTGCTGGGACTCTGAGGAGCACAGGGACTGACCTCCTGCTGGGACTCTGAGGAGCACAGGGACTGACCTCCTGCTGGGACTCTGAGGAGCACAGGGACTGGCCTCCTGCTGGGACTCTGAGGAGCACAGGGACAGACCTCCTGCTCGGACTCTGAGGAGCACAGGGACTGGCCTCCTGCTGGGACTCGGAGGAGCACAGGGACTGGCCTCCTGCTGGGACTCTGAGGAGCACAGGGACTGGCCTCCTGCTGGGACTCTGAGGAGCACAGGGACTGGCCTCCTGCTGGGACTCTGAGGAGCACAGGGACTGGCCTCCTGCTGGGACTCTGAGGAGCACAGGGACTGGCCTCCTGCTAGGACTCTGAGGAGCACAGGGACTGGCCTCCTGCTAGGACTCTGAGGAGCACGGGGACTGGCCTCCAGCTGGGACTCTGAGGAGCACAGGGACTGGCCTCCTGCTGGGGCTCTGAGGAGCACAGGGACTGGCCTCCGGCTGGGACTGGAATGGGATTGTAACTTTACTCTTTTTAAATGTACTTTGTTATTTATGTTTTGAATGCATTGATTTTATCTGTATCTTGTCGTGTGCTATACAGATAACCTTGCCGCTTAATGCTAGCACCACACTCTGCTGCCGCTGAAGAGTCCGTGAGAGATCCCTTTGATACCACAGTTTCTCGTGTCCCTGTCTCCAGCTCGTTCCAAAACAAAGCGTTCTGAGAGTTTGAAGAGGCCTCTCGTCTCACCGTTTATCTTCCCACTTCTCTCCAAACTCACCGTGTCGCTCTCTCAAAGTCAATCCATGACATTGTCCGGAACGACACGCAATCTCCCTCCCCCCCTCCCCCGCTCCCCTGCTCCTCGCTAATTCAATTAACAAGATGCCATCTCCACCAATTAAGCTTTTCCAATTAGCGTCAGCGGCGGTCGGAGAGAGCTGGAGGTTCTCTTTTGTGCGGAGCTGAATGGACTCGGACTGAGTGATAAGAGGCGTTCGTCAGCTTCAAAGAGAGAGAGATGTTTCAGCGCCGGGACGTGATTGGACGCCGGGACGTGATTGGGCGCCGGGACGTGATTGGACGCCGGGACGTGATTGGACGCCGGGACGAGATTGAACGCCGGGACGTGATTGGACGCCGGGACGTGATTGGCCACGCTCGTTAAAGGCGGCGGGGGGAGTTCTAAAAGTATTGGGTTGTTCTGTACCAGACAACAGTAGGTTAGCGATGTTAGCAGTAGGTTTGCGATTTTAGCAGTTGGTTAGCCAAGTCAACCTACTGTTTCTGCTGTGATCGCCACTTCGCTGCACGCCACGGTCTTCAAACGTCTAAAGGTTACTTGTATGGCACAGTGCATACACAAAGCAACGCAAAGTGCTTCGTATAAATTCCTATATCTGGTTGAACTTATGTAGCGACACATCAGTTTTTGCAGCCGTTAACATTTAGCCATTAGCCTTGAGCCTTTAGCTGTTAGCCTCTAGCCGTTAGCCTTTAGCCTTTAGCATGGGAAAGCCAGATCCCGTCAGAGCTCTTGCTTTGACTTATAATCTAGTTTCATCGTTGTAGCCTTTGAAATATAGCAGCAGTAGCAGTTGTGGTCTGAATAGAGTGATTAAAGCTGTACTCCCCCCTCCCCCTCACACTGGAGCAGGTGGTCTTTGTTCCCCTCCTCACCCCTCCTCACCCCTTCTCACCCCTCCTCCCCTCCTCATCTGCTCCTCTCAGACTCAGACTCGGGAGCAGCGTCCTGGGAGAGCTGAGGCCTGACCCGAGCACAGCGAGCCGGTTAACCTCCCCGACCGGAGAAGACCCTCTCTCTGGTTCTGCAGACGCCAACGAGGGCCATCCGCAGCCTGTCTGTCCTCACCCGTCTGCCCTTACCCGTCTGACCTCACCCGTCTGACCTCACCCGTCTCACCTGGTCTGGGCTTCAGCAGGTTCTGGTCTGACCTTTCCAGACCGGAGCCAGAGCCGGACTCACGCCGAGACTTGGCAGCGTGGGCAGAGCTCATGTTTTTGTACAAGTTTTAGAGGAAAAATCACTGGAAATATCACGTTCTCAAGGACAAAGGACAAAAGAGATTTTTATCAGAACTTTTTAACTCAATGGGAAATGAATAATAATAACACAATATATTTATGTGGCGTTTTTTGGGCCTTTTACAGAAGCATGACAGAAGGAACAGAGAAGGAAACTAGAGACAGGAGAGAGATACCAGGAAGAGAGAGACCAGGAAGAGAGAGACCAGAAAGAGAGAGACCGGAGAGAAAGACAAGGAAGAGAGAGACCAGAAAGAGAGAGACTGGAGAGAGAGACGAGGAATAGAGAGACCAGAGACAGAGACCAGGAAGAGAGAGACCGGAGAGAGAGACAAGGAAGAGAGAGACTGGAGAGAGAGACGAGGAATAGAGAGACCAGAGACAGAGACCAGGAAGAGAGAGACCGGAGAGAGAGACAAGGAAGAGAGAGACTGGAGAGAGAGACGAGGAATAGAGAGACCAGAGACAGAGACCAGGAAGAGAGAGACCAGAAAGAGAGAGACCGGAGAGAGAGACGAGGAATAGAGAGACCAGAGACAAAGACCAGGAAAAGAGAGACCAGAGAGAGAGAGACCAGAGAGGGAGACTAGAGACCAGAGAAAGAGAGACCAGGAAGAGAGAGACCAGAAAGAGAGAGAGACTGGAGGGAGAGACCATTAATAGAGAGACCAGAGACAGAGACCAGGAAGAGAGAGACCAGAAAGAGAGAGACCAGGAAGAGAGAGACCAGAGAAGGAAACTAGAGACCAGAAAGAGAGAGACTGGAGGGAGAGACCATTAATAGAGAGACCAGAAAAAGAGAGACCGGAGAGAGAGACGAGGAATAGAGAGACCAGAGACAAAGACCAGGAAGAGAGAGACTAGAGACCAGAGAAAGAGAGACCAGGAATAGAGAGACCAGAGAAGGAAACTAGAGACCAGGGAGAGAGATACCAGAAAGAGAGAGACTGGAGGGAGAGACCATTACTGGTCTCTCTTTCTCTGGTCTCTAGTTTCCTTCTCTGGTCTCTCTATTCCTGGTCTCTCTTTCTCTGGTCTCTAGAGAAAGAGAGACCAGGAATAGAGAGACCAGAGAAGGAAACTAGAGACCAGGGAGAGAGATACCAGAAAGAGAGAGACTGGAGGGAGAGACCATTAATAGAGAGACCAGAAAGAGAGAGACCGGAGAGAGAGACGAGGAATAGAGAGACCAGAGACAGATACCAGGAAGAGAGAGACCAGAAAGAGAGAGACGAGGAATAGAGAGACCAGAGACAGAGACCAGGAAGAGAGAGACCATAAAGAGAGAGACTAGAAAGAGAGTGACCAGGAATAGAGAGACCAGATGGAGAAAGACCAGAAAGAGAGAGACTGGAGAGAGAGACCAGAGAAGAAAATCAGAGACCAGAGAGAGAGACCAGGGAGAGAGAGACCAGAAAGAAGGAGACCAGTGAGAGAGACCGAATGACCAGAGAGAGTGAGAACCCAGAGTGAAAGAACAGAGAGGAACCCAGAGAGAGACCAGAAAGATAGGTCGCAATCTACAGTACCAAATACTAAGAGTAGAGCAGAGCAGAGCAGAGCAGAGCAGAGTAGAGTAGAGTAGAGTAGAGTAGAGTAGAGCAGAGCAGAGCAGAGCAGAGCAGAGCAGAGTAGAGTAGAGCAGAGCAGAGCAGAGCAGAGCAGAGCAGAGTAGAGTAGAGTAGAGTAGAGTAGAGTAGAGCAGAGCAGAGCAGAGCAGAGCAGAGCAGAGTAGAGTAGTAGAGTAGAATAAAACATAGATACATTTGTCTGTTATGAACCCGCTTGTCATCCTTGCCTTGAGTGTAGTTTACGGATCATTTGTTTTGACGGCCTTAGCAGGAATAAAACGTAAATCTGTAATTACCTGTGGGCTTCTTTCTTTGCTTAATTAAGAAAGAAAAACTAATCCACACAAAACAAAAGCACTCTCTCTGCTCTCTTTCACATGATGCTGAGAAACTTTTTGCTCAGATCCCCAGGACTGGAGACCAATGAACCTCATACACCCAGGGTTTCTCTCACTTTTGCCCCTTCTCTTTTTTCATGAAAGCAGTAAAGCCAGACTTAAAAATCTGAGAGCGAAAGAGACTAGAGAGAGAGAGAGACCAGAGAGAGACCAGAGAGAGACCAGAGAGAGACCTGAGAGAGACCTGAGAGAGAACAGAGAGAGACCAGAGAGAGACCAGAGAGAGAGACCAGAGAGAGACCAGAGAGAGAGACCAGCGAGAGACCAGAGAGAGACCAGAGAGAGACCAGAAAGAGACCAGACAGAGAGACCAGAGAGAGAACAGACAGAGACCAGACAGAGACCAGAGAGAGACCAGACAGAGACCAGAGAGAGAGAGAGAGACCAGAGAGAGACCAGAGAGAGACCAGAGAGAGAACAGAGAGAGACCAGAGAGAGACCAGAGAGAGAGACCAGAGAGAGACCAGACAGAGACCAGAGAGAGACCAGAGAGAGAGACCAGACAGAGACCAGAGAGAGACCTGAGAGACAGAGACCAGAGAGAGACCTGAGAGACAGAGACCAGAGAGAGAGGTACCATAGAGTGAGGGACCAGAGAGAGAGACAAGAGAGAGACCAGCGAGAGAGACCAGAGAGAGACCAGAGAGAGACCAGAGAGAGAACAGAGAGAGAGACCAGAGAGAGACCAGAGAGAGACCAGAGAGAGAACAGAGAGAGAGACCAGAGAGAGAGATCATAGAGAGACCAGAGAGAGACCAGAGAGAGAACAGAGAGAGAGACCAGAGAGAGGGGGACCATAGAGTGAGAGTCCACAGAGAGAGAACTTAGAGAGAGGGACCTCGAAGAGCGATAGGCGTGAGAGACCAGAGAGATAGAGACTAGAAATGGGAAAGAGAGACCAGAGAGACAGGCCAGAGAGAGTGAGACTAGAGTGAGAGACAGACCAGAAAGAAAAAGTCCAGTAAGGTAAAAGCGAGGCCAGAGAGAGACTAGAAACCAGAGAGGCCAGAAAGATAAGAGAGAGGCCGGAGAAGGATTTAAAAAGCTGAGAGAGAAAGCGGCAGTGGGCTGGGTGAGAGAGGGAGGTGTGAGATGCTGATCTAATCTGAGGAGGAAACTGGGAAATGAGCTCCTGCGCCGGGATCAAAAACAGCTGAATAAAACAAAGTTAAAGTAATAAAACTGCAGAAGAACAAGAAGATAAAGAAGATCGGGACCAGATTCACGAAAACCGCTCCCACTCAATTAAGTCGTGAGGAAGAATGGCCAGAGTCGTGCTGTTGGAGTTTAAAATAATGAAAAATGTTTGTATTGTGTTGTCAGAGTGAGTCCTGGAGCTACAGCCTCAGTCCTGGGTCTACAGCCTCAGTCCTGGGTCTACAGCCTCAGTCCTGGGTCTACAGCCTCAGTCCTGGGTCTACAGCCTCAGTCCTGGGTCTACAGCCTCAGTCCTGGGTCTACAGCCTCGGTCTTGGATCAAAAGCCTCTGTCACTATTTTGGGTTTACAAAATGTGGTCTAGTGCTCTTTGTGATCCTGGTCTGTGTTTGTCCATGTTTTCCAAATGGGAGTTGACCAATCAGAGGCCTTCATTTGTAGGGAGACTCTATCTTTACTTAGCAACTGTCTTAGAAACCGTCTTCACAAGCGAATTAGCAACTGTCTTGGCAACAGACATAGCAACTGTCTTAGCAACAGCCTCAGCAACCGTCCTAGCAACTGTCTTTGCAACAGTCTCAGCAACAGTCTTATCAACCGTTCTAGCAACTGTCTTTGCAACTGTCTTAGCAACCGTCTTAGAAACCGTTTTAGCAACTGTCTTAGCAACCGTCTTAGCAACCCATTAGTCCATATTACAGCCTAAAGCTAATGCCGTCAGAACAAATGCCCATATAAGGAAATTGGCTCCAGCTAGCATAGGTTAAAATCAGCTTCTCTCCTGCATGAAGGCTAACACTGTGGTGATGTCACACTCTGTCCTCTCCTAGCGTACGGTCTCTCCTTCTGCTCTTCCCCAGGTGAGAGTCTGTGTTGGGGGTAATCCTTCTGCTCCTCCTGGATCTGCGCCTCCATCTCTGAGCTTCAACTTTAGGATCTAAAAATAGTCAATAATCTCCACATAACGCTGCCTTTGAACGCTGCCCCAGAGGCTCATGGGAAGAAATCATCGTGAGATCGTCCGGACACTGGTTCTACATTTCCAGTAGCCTCCGAGAGGGTTTTCAACTGTTATTATTAAAGCAGAAATGAGTATTTACAATATTTAAATTTTTGAGGAGATACTTAAGTGCGTGGTTTTGTTGTTACAATTTCATTATATTAAACACAATGGAAAAGAGAGCAGAGAGAGAAAGAGAGACCACAGGGAGACCAGAAAGAGAGAGGCCAGAGGGACCAATTAGCAAGAGACCGGAGTGAGAGAGACCAAAAACAGAGACCAGAAAGAGAGAGAGAGAGAGACCAAATAAATGAGAGCAGAATAACTGTCCTGTCTGCAGCTGGTGTCGGTTTCATCAGAGAAAGTGAACGAGTAGAAAGCAGTTTTCTGTGTAATTGCGGCGTGTGCTTCGTCGAGGGTGTGGAGATAATCTCGTTAGTGTGGAGGGGGGCGGGGCTTCTGCTGCGAGGCGTGTGATTGGCTGAGTGCTGACCAGGCTAAAAGCTTTTGAAGTGTAGGTGAAGAGCAATTACAGCCTCTGCATCTGAGCTGTCACCTCTGCAGAGCGAGACCAGAGAGAGACCAGAGAGAGACCAGAGAGGGACCAGAGAGAGACCAGAGAGGGACCAGAGAGAGACCAGAGAGAGACCAGAGAGAGACCAGAGAGAGACCAGAGAGAGACCAGATAGAGACCAGAGAGAGACCAGAGAGAGACCAGAGAGAGACCAGAGAGAGAA